GGCTGGTTTGTGAGAGGAGGTCTTGGATCTTCAGCCCCTTTCGGTCAAGCCTATGATTTATGGCTTTTCTCTCATTAGAATTATCTCTGCCTTGGGCATTTAAAAAAATACATATTGATGTGGGCATGAAAATTAATTCCAAGTTGTAGATAATTGTTTAAGCTATCACACTTGAGACTCTTGTATAAGAGTTTTCCCAGGACAAGTGTGTTTCCCATTAGAGTTGATATCAATCTGTCAGAAGATCCTTTTGATTTTCAAATTTTTAGACAAAATAGTTGAGTAATACTTGCTCTGTTCTCCCCCACTCTTTCTTCCTTTTCCTTAAGAAAACACTCTTTTTATTGTTAGCAAGACACCTTGGAGTTAATCCAAAGCATTGCTGTCTCTTTCTGTGGAAGAGCAGAAAAACCCAGCTTTAGACACGGGGCTGTGTCATGGAGAACTTTTATGTGAGTGGCTGAGCTCCCAGCTGAGGGCCCAGCACCCTCCCCCCTGCTCAGGGTGGGCCACAATCCTGCCTTTTCTGCCACAAGAACAGATGATACTGGTAACACGTGGGAATTGCATTGGGACTGGAATAAATTCAACCTTTTGGCTGTTCCCTCTCTCATGTTTTTCCTGCCCTGCACTGCGTTGCTGGGGCTCAGTCAGTGCTTAACATGCAGTACAGAGCTGGGTTGGGTATTTGTGTCTCTGGTGACACACGAGCCAGGTACTCAGCTCTACCAAACCAACTTTCTGTTGCTGTGTAACTCACAAGCTTTTCATCTGGTGGATCCTTCCAGTTCCAGTTTTCATTTCCCCCATGACCTGGCCCAGGGGACGTTGTCCCTGGGGACACACGGGGCGTGTGGCCGTTCCTGCCTTCCGAGGGGCTCTTCCCATCCTCTTAGTACAAACTGATTGTCCGGGATCTGGAGTTCCCAAAATGGTGGCTGGAAGGAACAGAGCAAAGCTGGAGTCAAGACAAAAAGGCCCCAAGATGCCCGGGAAGGGTCCTGCCCCCCCCGGCCCCCTTCCTGCCCTGGTCCCGCGGTGTCTGCGGGAGGAACATTTGCATGTGAACGAGCTGCTTTGGTGATCTGGTCTCAGGAGGGATGAGAAGGGACTTCCCGGGAGCTGTAGGGGCTGAGGGGCTGTTCAAAGGTGGGTTCAGGGGGAGGAGGCAGATAGACCTAACCCGGTCTAACTAGACCTAACCAGGCCTAACCAGGTGCTAACCAGGCAGGTTCACTTCTGCTGTAAATACAAGTCTGTTATCGACCTCAGTGCTTTTTTTTCCTGCTAAGATCCTGCTGCTCTTCAAAACCATGGACATTCTGGCCAGCAGCTCCACCTGAAGCACAGCCTGCCAGGCAGTTGGTACAATATATTATCATGTATATAAATGCCATCAGCCTGATTTATTTATGGTGACTGTTCTACACAGCTGGCATTCCTGTAATTTTAGTAGAGGTATTTTTTTTTTAATGTTATGCTTCACATCTCTGTGAAGATCATGGACTTAATAAAATCTGTAAATATATATAAAATATCCCTTCTGATGTTCTCAGACAATGTAATCCAAATAATAGCATTAGGGATAACCTGCTTCACTATCCTGCTCTATTTCCTGTAAGCAAAGCTAAGGTTTTTTCTGAGTGAGAAATCATTTTAGTGTAAACATGAACTACAAGGTATATACAGTGCCTCCATCTCCACGGGGGTAGGGAGCCAGTAAATTACTGGGTGAGGAGTACGAGTGCACACATTTAGCTCGACTGTAGCTGATGAAAAATAAGGATTTATATTACACAGAGAGGATAAGAACATGATACAACCAGCCTGTGTTTTGACTTCCTTAATATGCCTTTTAAACTTCCTTTGCCTTTCTCTCTTTTTCTTCCCATTTTGCTGTGAAAAAGGAAGAAAGAAAGGGAAAGGCTACCATGGGAAGAAGCTTGTCCAATTTGCTAAAAAAACTCTAGAGAGTTCTATAAAATAGGCTGTGTTGATTTGTTATATGCAGTTTGGTTTTGAGATAGCTGTGCTAATACTGCCATGAGATACTGAAGGGCAGCCAGCCCAGGGGGGAGCCTGGTGTGCAGATCCTCACTAATGCACTTGGGCTTCTCCCCAGTCCTGGCTGAGAACAGGGGGAGATGCAGGAGGGAGGAAGGAGCCAGATATCAATGAATAGCTGAGGTTGGGGAGGTTATTGCTGCTGATTACTGCTGCTGGAGTTCTGCTGACATGCAACACCACGGCACAAACAAAATCCTTCTCTCACGGGCTGGAGTCAAGTGAGATCTGCTCTTCAGCTGGGAGGTTTTCAGGCATCGTCTGAACACGATCCATAAACAACTCCGGATGACTTTTGAGAACCTGTTTCTCTCTCTTCTTGGTATGCTGGTCGTTTATCATTGTGCTGAAATGGAATCCCCTTGAAAAGATATAACGGCTTCTTGTTTACTTAAACGCAAAGTGGATGATGGGCTGAAAGGGTTTGCTGCCAGCAGGGCAGGCACAGAGAGCCTGGTGCAGCCCCAGAGCTGAACCAACTGTGCAGCCCCCACGTCCAGGCTGAGCCAAACCAGCCGGGAATGGGGGTGAAGAGTGGGGTGGGTGTCCTGGGACAGGGCCAAGTCCTCGACCGTGGCTCTTGGCAGGAGAGGAGCAGAACAGGGCAGGGGACCCGGGGGTGAGCAGTGTCTCTCCTGCAGGTGTTCAGCTCACTCTCTGGCTTGTTCTGCCCTCCAGAACCACAGAGCAGGTCTGAAAGCCAGTGCTGCAGAGGCTGCACTCACCAGGTTTAGCTTTGGGCTGAGCTTTTCCCTGCCTGTCACCTTCCCAGGGGAGCTAGGAGCTTGGGCAGCACATCACTTATCTGCCCCAGGCACATCTCAGGGCCACGGCACCTCTCCTGACTCCCTTAGAAACAGAGGGCT